TAACCAGAGTTTCTTTGCTTTCATCTAGAACCTACAGCAATGAAATATATTAACATATGATGGTAACAGCTTCAGCAAGATAATTTTCATATTTATAGAATCATAGAATCATAGAATTTAGGGATTGGAATGGACCTTACAGATCATCAAGTCCCAACACCCCCTGCCATGGGCAGGGACACCTCATCCAGCCTGGGCTTGAACACCAGCAGGGTCAGGGCAGCCACCACATCCCTGGGCAACCTGTTCCAATGTCTCACCACCCTTATAGTAAAGAACATTTTTCTCACATCCAACCTAGGCTGTCCCTCCTTCAGTTTGAAACCATGTTTTTTTAAATGAGGACAGAGAGAATACTTATATGGAATATGCAGAAAAGCACAAAGACTTTCACTTATGCTGTTTGTACAAATAATAGTGATCAGAACTATTAAAAGAACATATTTTAAAATACTATCAACAGGAAAAATGCTGCCTTAGAAAATAAAAATTAATACATCAGTATATATATATCCAGCATATTCACAAATATGAGTGAATGTGTCTTCTAGTCATAGCAATAAATCAAGAAGAGAGATGGGATTTGGCTAAAATGAAGACATATAAATCAAAGTACTCTTGTTTTCCTCTTATTTTTGACATCTTCACTCCATTACACAGTGTATCTGGTAAAGCAAACTGAAAAGAATCCCACTTTTCCAGAATTGAGATTAAACCTCATTGTCCTGACTGCATCCCCACTGATAGAATCAGTACATTCCCTCTTTCTAAATGAAAATATAATAGAAAATCAAGATCATAAAACATCTCAGGAAGAGAATAAAATAGTTTTCTGTGTTCAGATAGCAATTTACTTGGAAAACATATTCCAATGAATGTCAAGTGTTTTACACTGAAGACTGCTTAGCTGACTGCAGAGAAGTCTGCCTTTGCATTAGCAACTCTGTGGATTGAGTACACTCCAGGATGATGCAGCATTAGATTGCAAGGAGTTTCTAAGTTAGGATCAAATATAGTCACATAGATTTGTTCAAAACACTATAAAGACTTATTACCTACATGGCCAGTCATACAATTGTGAGTAGTTCCAGTAACTTTCAGACTTTATCATGTCAAAACATCATGACTCTAACAGATCTTTTCAGTTCATTATGGTGGATTGAAGGGTCCAGATCAAGTAAAATATCCAAAGTGACAGAGTATTTAGAAGATATCTTAATTTTAAATGTGCAAGTTTTATTTTCTTCACTTTTTAATAATGAAGTAGATAGTTTAAAGCAAATGAAATTAAGATTACATTTAAATGGGTTCATCTACTTGTTTTGTTGATGCCCCAAAATAATGAAATTTGCACCAGTTTATTCATACTGGCTATTAATGAGAATATATTTGCTAATAGAGAAAATCTATTTCTATTTTATTTTTACAGACAACAACATTAATAGGTCTTCTGAAGACAGCTAGACTGCTGCGTCTGGTGAGGGTAGCACGGAAATTGGACAGATATTCTGAATATGGTGCTGCAGTTCTGATGCTCCTCATGTGCATATTTGCACTTATTGCACACTGGCTTGCTTGCATTTGGTATGCCATTGGAAATGTAGAAAGACCTTACTTGGCTCACAAGATTGGCTGGTTGGATTCTTTAGGAGAACAACTAGGGAAGCATTACAATAAGAGTGATGCAAGCTCTGGACCATCCATCAAGGACAAATATGTTACAGCACTTTATTTTACCTTCAGCAGTCTGACAAGTGTAGGATTTGGAAATGTGTCTCCAAACACCAACTCAGAGAAAATCTTTTCCATCTGTGTCATGTTGATTGGCTGTAAGTAGTTTTATCAGGATTTTTTCATCTTTTTTTTCTCAGTGTTTGAGCAAATGGCTTAACATTATAAGCTAATAAGATTATAATCATGCAGCCGGAAGGGCAAATTCCCAGGGAAAGCAATGTTGTATGCAAAAATATGTTGTGACTCATTCAGTGTCAGGAAGTAGTCAACTTCCTTGACTACTCAAAATCTGTTATACAAACTGTCAGAAGTTTGTGTTGTGTATCAGTGTCTGTAAGCAAATTCTGTGTAGGGTAGGAAGCTGAGTTTTGAGCAGATTTAGGAATCTATAGGCCATCATTTATTTTTTTATTTAGACACTGAACCTACAAATGTATGCATACCTTCTAACTCTAATGTTTGTTCTTAACTTGTTCCTTTGTTCCTTGTTCTTAGTTCTACAAAAGTTTGTAGAATTAGGTGAAAACAATTTACAATGCTAAATTCAGGTCTACAGATATCTAAAGATAAAAATTACCAATTTGATTATGATATAGTGTTTAAGCCTCATCTGCTAACTGAGTAGGTGCTGATACAATCAAATCAATAAAAAGCTTCAGGTAAACCAATTCTACATCTGAAAATGTAACTAGTGTCATCTGAGCTGTTTTGCATACAAAGTATATTGTAAGAACTGTTGCATCATCTGCAAAATCCAATGATATAAGTAAGTTTTGTTTCTGTTTAATACAGCATTAATGTATGCTAGCATTTTTGGAAACGTATCTGCAATAATCCAAAGACTCTACTCGGGGACTGCACGGTATCACATGCAGATGCTGCGAGTAAAGGAGTTCATACGCTTTCATCAAATCCCAAACCCTCTGCGGCAGCGACTTGAGGAATACTTCCAGCATGCGTGGACATACACCAATGGCATTGACATGAACATGGTATGTTGTTCTGTTTTTCAGGCAGAGATGCTGAAAAATAGATAAATGCATGAAAATTTAGAAAGAGATTGTAAGTCTTTATTATTTAGAAGCTGTAAAAGTACAAGCTTAAGAAGGCTGTATATATAGCAATTATTGAGAACCAAGCCAACACAAGTTTGGCATCCCAACATTTAACTGCCTAGGTTATCACAAGCTATATCAGAAATCTGAATTCTGACTGTGCGTAGGACAGCTTGACAACTGCAGGTGACTACTATAAGCTTAAGTGGAGAAAAAATAGTCATAGGTTTCTTATTTCAGACATAGCTCTTCCAGGATTTTGTTTGTTCTTCCACCTGATTTTCCACTTCCAGTATCAAACATGAGTATCTGTGTTGGTATCTACAGTTACTATTCTATAAAAATTGTGGCAATCAATTCATTTTCAGAATCTTATCATGTAATCCAAAACAGATATATTGGAAATGGGTTCACAAGAGGACCAAGCAGGTTTAACTGCTCTTTTCAAAGTGAAATATTTGAATCACATGAACATCTGAACAGTAGTTCACTTGCATTCACAACCACATGATTCTGCACTGAAAATCAACACAGTACTACTAGCCATCCACAAACTCATTTAGGAAGTGGCAAGGCACAGCACCCATATTTTCTGTTCTTGATTAACAAAAACCCTATAAACTCTCCTTATATAAATACATATATAGTGTGGCCAGCTAAAAAGAAATAGCAATCTGCTAACAAGTAAAAGTAAGCATCTATATTTCTGGCTTATTTTCTGGAGACAGCAACATTTTTTCTGAAAAGTTGGCATCAGTTTGAGGACACTGAGAGCATTGTGCATCTTAAGGATCTGTGAATCTGTGTCTCTAGAGGGATGCTTTCCATGAAGTTGTCAAGAACAACAAAATCTATACATTTTTGTAGCAATTTAACTAGAAATCAACCTCCAAAGTTTTGACATAAACTCAAACAACTTCCGTGAGGTATTTATACATACATTTGTAAATGACTCTCAGAGTGGTACACTTTTATGCAGTAAACAGAAACAATGGTCTTGATTAAAAGCTTTTATAAGGCTGAATCACTGACAGTTTGACTTTATGGTTACCATTAAGTAAAGCAGATCTTAAAAGTAAAGCAGAAAATGAAATATGTTGAGCTTCACCTCCCACTTCCATGAGTGTCCCCTCCAGAGGGATAATATGCCCAGTGCAGGACAAGGATATTTTTATAAACCTCTGCTGGGGATTACTGCAGTGGAAGGCAGCATCAGTAGCTTCATCCTGTGTGGCACTGAGTGGCCATAATTCCCTGGGATGACAAGGGGATTGTGGGGTACTCAGCACTCTGCAGGATCAGGCCCTTAAGCTGCAGGTGGGTGCAGACTAAGCCTAAAGTAGCTCAATGAGTTATTTCTGAAGATATTACAAAATCATGTATGCCTTAACTAATTCATTACCACTAATGGATGTACTAAGAGCACCTGTTTCACATGAAATTATAACTGGATGTTGTCAGGTGAGACGTTGCATAATGCAGGAATTAATGTACGGGAATTAGTCTTGGATTTGTCATTAATGTGAAATAACAACTAAATGGATTAAACAGCCAATATTCTGCAACATGATTGTGAGGCAATATGGAGGCTTTGTTTTAAATAAAACATGCAAAAAACCCCAAGTTTAGTATCTTGGTTTGTTATATTTTATTTCTTATTCTGTTCACAATTCTATCCCTCATGTTTTATGGCAATCACTTAATTTTCTTTAAAAGTGAGTTTGAATGTATTACACTTAGTGCAAGGGTAATATAAGAATTGTGTGATTTATGTTGTACTTATGAAAGATTTATCTCTTTCCTGTCTGCTTCACACCTAAATACATGGAATAACACCACCCACTGGTAAGAGCAGGAGGTATTTATATCAAATTTAATTCCAGTATAAAGTGTGGAGAATATCCATGTTATCTGTCGGGTTTGGAGCTTGTTCAATGCTTTCTAATTTTAATTGTAACTTTGCATGATGAAGGGGTAGATAGCAAAGGGAAATAATCCGAGTAGAATCAGATGTGGGGCAAAATAGTTACTAAAAATTAGACGTTAAAACTACTAATCTAACCACATTTCTTAATCACTGTTTTACCCCACAACTCAAGTCATGCTTCTCTGCCCAAAAAAGGTCATGTGCATATTGGTTTGCATTAGATAGTTTGCTCTGTAGGAAAGTTGCCATGCTGCTGATCATTCTGCATTTTCCTTTGCGTGAATGCTGTTGGTTCAAACCATATATGCATGTTAGCACAAGCACAAATGAAGTTTTCCTGGCTATAAGCCATGTGCATATGAGATGGACTTGCATGTGTTATCTACTTAATTTTGCATGAAATATTTGCATTTACACACCAAAGGGCTAATGCTGTCCTCAGACAAATATGTTTGACTCCTGCCAATATTTACTGGGAGTTTTTTGCAAATATCTGAAGGCAGAATTTGATCCAATATCTTTTCTTTTTTTTCATTTCATGACTGAAAGCTGAAAAAAAAATCAAAAATTTAGTCCTCTTTCTCCTTTGAAATATGAAATGCATGAATAATTTACATTTTATATATATATATATGTACATGCAACATATACACACACATATATATATAAAAATAACATTGGAGAATATATTTCAAAAGATGCTTTACATTATCATCAGTAATATATTTAAGAATTCAGGAAAAGTGGAAAATTAAAAAAACCCTTTTAACCTCAGGAGTAATACTGCACTATGACTAAACTTGATTTTCTAAACAAAATACTACACTTTTGATTGAAAACCAGAAGATAATACCTTACGCTCATTACAAATGGTTAAACTTAAACTTAGCTTTAAGGATCTGCAGGTGAAATATGCTGAGAACCTTTTTTATTTGTTCATTTACTCCCTTCTGCTTCATTTCTACATCTTTTTGATTATGTTCCATTACATAATGTATTTTGATTAAAAACAGCTCCACATAATTATGGATGGACTGGATAAACAGGATTTGGGATTTATTTTAATCTGGATAAAAATCTTGAGTCTATAGAATAAGCATAAGTTAAATCATACCCCTGCAATATACACTGGCAAAGTCAAATTACAAAAAAATATATTTACAATGCATATTGTTTCATGAGATGTCACCAGTGCCAAAGATTCAAGTTCTTTTTAATTTTTTTAACTATCCTGTTCTGTTTTTCCTAAACTCTCTTGCCTTCTTTTCCCCCTTTCATTCCCATGTTATCAGTCCAGCACTGATAATAGCATGCCTATGATGCTTACCCTAAACAGATGACATATTTAGTGTCTGAGATACTTTTTTAAGTTATGCATGTATTTTTTACAATCCTGTCCCACCCCTTCTTTCCATGGATCTTCTGTGCATCTGAATAGCTTTATCCATTTATTTTGCATTTGAAAAGAGTTCAAAAAGTAAATAAGTGGGACAAACTTTGAAAAGTGTTTAGCCAAATCTAAACATGACTGAAAATTTTGGATGTGGGACAGATGTCTTTTTATTTTGCGTTTTACCCAGTACCATGAAAAAAAGAGAGAAAATTAGAATTTTTATGCATAAAGCATCCAAACAAATGGTCAATTTTACATTTGTGATGTTGTCTTGGCTACAGTGATCATGCAGGTACAACAGAGCACACACCTATCTTGAACCAGCAATGCTACTGTAGCAAGAGAAGGGCAGGTTCATTTCTTTGTTAAGGTTTCTTTTGTGAGAAATTGGCCACTGGCACCTGGTTGACATCACTGCATTTGTTATTCTTGCTTTTCCTCCCACTATGATCCTTCTTATGACAAAAAGAGTTCTAGCAGTAGAACTATTGCCAGTAATATATTTGAAGCAGAGAATTAGAAAAGTAAATTAGAATTTAAAAAATAGCAAGGCAAAGTTCTTTGTCTCATCAGAAGAATAATCCAAATGAGATGTGTTTGGAACAAAAAAATTGTAAGTAAATGGTTAAACAGAATGAATATTTAATCATGTTGGAAAGTGATACTGCTGTTTGTCTGTCAGAATGGAAATCATAAGACATATAAGTCAGTCAGAAAGTACCTCAAATATGATTAGCTGTAAATCTGTCTTTTGATTCTCTATAACAAAACCACTTAAAAAAATAAATGCCTACATTGAACTGTTACAGAAAAGAAAAAGTCATAGAAAAAAACTCCCAACTTTCAAGAATGTCAGTCTGTTTACTAAATGATCCATTATCAGTTTCTCACTGCATTGGATTTTGTGGTCTAGCATCTCAAAAGAAGAGCAATTAACAATTTTGCAACTGTCATATTTTTGAAAAGATTCAGATCTGGTCAGGTTCCAACTTCTACAGACTTTAAACTTTTACGTTGTTAAGGGAGTCAACAGTTGAAGAAGCTGAAATAATTTTCTGTCCTCCTCATCCAGCAGTGTATCATATCTCAGAGATCACCTTTCAGATGTACTCAGAGACTGTAATAAGATTATAGAATGATCGGCTGCAGTGGTAGTAAATAAAAACATCACACATCTGTGTCATGGCAATGATTGAAAACAAAAGATCCTAATTCTTGATAAGGTTGTCAGTCTTTAATCTCATTGAAAGGTGAATTAGCTCATCATCACACACTGCCTCTCTTCTCCCTCAGCTGTTGTAAGGAACTCTTTCATGTCCTAAAAATTAAAAATTAAATTAAATTTAAAAAATCTTCCTGTATGAAGAAGAGGATTCGTCAGAAATAATCTTTATTTTATGTGCAGCCCAAGAGCTGCTGAAGATGAATTATTGCCACCTGTGACCTTGTTCATTTTTTCTAAATGGTGAAAGGCCTTGAAAATATTTCAGCATTCAACTTAGAGAAAAAGTTAATTTTTGTAATTAATTATCACCGAAATAGTAAATTCTAAATTCTTTTTAGAAACTGAACTGCATTACAGAAATGTTTAGTGTAGATTAAGATGTTGTTAAAATCTGACATCCAAATATTTGTGACAGAACTAAATCCCACACTACATTCCATCAGAGGCAGCAGCTACTGAGGAACAGAGATCCTAATTCAAAACCTATGCAGTGTAATCTGTGTAGTTAAAGAGTCTCAGATTAGTCCTAAAATTAGAAGTCAGAAAGATAAAAATTTAATACATAGGTTATTTCACCAAATATACAAATTTCTATTAATTAATTTCACTCATTCTTATAAAACAAACTAAGATAAAATGTTTGGTTTTTATATGAAGTTCAAATTTTATTATTCAAACTTTTTGAGAACTTTATTCAGCATTTGGTGATGCCTGAGGTCTCTATTATGCAGGTGGGAACCAAATAGAGATTAAGTATGTTTAGTCATGACACAAAGTATATTTATTCCTGCCTCTTTGTACACTCAGCTGCTCTAAATTTTTTGTGTGTTAGTTTTTGCATGGATCAATTTCTCAAACCATTTCATGAGAAGAGATCAAGACAAGGCAGGAATAAACATATAATATGAGGAAATTTTCAGTTTATGCTATCTTATATTGTCAGAGGAACTTGAGATCCGACCTTTATCTTTCCCTCTATATGCTGAATACATGCCACTAATAAACAACTGACTGATTTAAAGACAAGAAAGCCTTAGTCAAAATGAGTTTCAATATACTCCGAAGAGACACAAGAGCCCACATGCTCCCTTCAACTGCTGAATGGCATTTATTGTTTGATCTCACCTATATTTCACCAGAGAAAATATATGACAGAAGATTATATGCAGAAGTAAAAGAATCTCTTTGACTGCCAGGCTGCAGGGACTGGAGCATCTCTTATACTAGGAAATGCTGAGAGCTGGCGCTGCTCAGTGAGCCTGGAGAAGTGGAGGCTCACAGGAGATCTCATCGGTGTGAACAAATACCTGAAGGGGGGGTGTAAAGAAGGTGGAACCAGGCCCTTTTCAGTGGTGCCCAGTGACAGGACCAGAGGCAATGGGCACACACTGAAACAGGAGGTTGAGTCCAAACATCAGGAAACACATTTTTACTGTGAGGATAACTGAGCACTGGTACAAGTTGCCCAGGGAGGTTGTGGCATCTCCATCCTTGGAGACATTCAAAAGCCATCTGGACATCATCCTGGGCTACTAGCTCTAGGTAACCCTGCTTGAGCAGAGAGATTGGACCAGATGGTCTGCAAAAGTCATTTCCATCCTCAACCATTTGGTCATTCTGTTGGTATGGAATGTGGTAAATCCCAATTTGCTTCAGTTTGGATACTTTCAAATATCTTCTGTGGAATAGATGTCAAGACCTGTTCAGAATGAGGACAGAAAATCTAAAAATTGTCATTAATAATATATCATAATAATATCATTGCCCCAAACAGTTGCTCATTGTCTGAGGTTAGGGCACATAGATGTGTCCAATTCTGTTGTCACAAAGGTGTCTGATACATGTCTGAGTGAAAACTTCTTGTCATCTTGAGAAAGAGAAGTTAATGAAGCTGGACTCCTCCTCTTATGAAAGATCACATTCTTCAAGGCAGTATGAATCATGTCCCTACTATCCTCACTGAACCTCAATCACTTATGCCATGTAAAATGTTTTACGTCTCTCTGAATGAAAATTTCCTCCTCTCTAAGCATGCCACATAGATAAACCAATGTTATTTGACATGGAATAAGTTTCATTCCAGACAGGAAGACACAACTGTACTTGGATTTGATAACTATCAGTGAGAGACAACTGGAGCCTATGGTCATAGCACCCTAACTGATTTTCCTTTTCCTTTCCTTTTTCTTTTTTTTTTTTTTCAAGGGGGCATGGTTGAAGATGATTTTATACCTTGTTACATGTCTTTTAAAAAAATATCTCTGTGTATCTCTTGAATTATGCATGAGTTTTGATTCCAAACATTATTCTAACCATGAGAATCCAAGGTTTTTCTCACCAGGACCCCATGGAGTCACAATTGAGGAGATATTGAGTGTAACAATAGAAACATGTTAGGAAAGAATGGAGCAATTGAAACTCAAACCTGTATTCAAATTATGTATTAGTTTTGGAATTTTCACTGATAATACTGTTATTAAAGAGCAATTCGAGCATTATAATTTTCAGCTATTTTATTTTTGCCTTACCTAGTTCTGTATTCATATAATTTCAAGACAATGCTGGCTTTTAGTTCTTTAGAAAAGTTTATTTTAAATTGGAGTGACTTAAGTGTGTTTAAAGACTCAGAACAAATGAAAATAAGTGAAATGAAATATGTAGAGTTTTATTATTTTGAAGCTAGTCTCACAATTTTGAAGACTGGGTGGATTATTTTCTAATAGTTAGAGTGTACATATACTGTATTGATGTTGATTCCCACATTATAATTTTCAATACAATTGTTCCCATTACTAAAATCTGGATATTAGGAATGCACATGGAGGTTTGGGTTTGCAAAATGTTGTCTGTACTGCACAACATAAAGTTTAGTTTGGAAACATCAAATTCTGGTTAGTGTCAGCTACTGAATTGAGATTAAATAACTCACTATATACACTGTGTGCAACATGGAGCAAAATCTCCTTTTACTAATGTAGCTTATATAACAATGTTTAAACAAATTTATCTTCAGATCAGCATCTTTCTTGCATTTCTAAGCTTGTATTAGTGGAGTAGTCTCAAAAACAACATTTGGTCTTCCTTCTAGACATTTGATAATTGTGATGTTAAAGAGTAAATTGCTTCCTCTCTGATGTATAAAATTATTTTAGAGTGTAAGCCCCATGGGGCAGGGACTTTTTAATCACAGGTACTTGAACAGAGGTGGGTATAACTATTAACTAATATGCAATTATTTTAGAACTGTTTCAAGTATAAAGTAATTCTCAAAATAATTTTTTCATTAAAGGAGTATCCAAAGTATCTTCAGAAATACAAAAAACCACACATGGTCTGCATGGGTTTTGCTTAATGGTAAAATGCAATCCCTTGATAAATCAGATACACAACCAATGTGAAAAATTAATACAATTTATTCTAAGATGTGCTCCTAACTTTCTAACAATTCAAATACCTCTTCCTGTAAGTACTTCTGAATTCAAAATAAATTCCCTATTTCACATCCTATTAAAATGGAGCTCTTCTAAATTGCATTCAGATGGATGTATAGCAAAACAATTAATTCAAAATAGGTCTTTTATACTCACATGACTAGAGAACAATTTCAAAATAAACACTTGCAATTTTTCTCACCTGTATCATTTGATTATTATGCATTTGGTTATCAGTTTCTCATTATCATTCAGTAAATAAGTTGCTACAACCGATTTCAAAATAATTACATTAAAATAAAAAGAGTAATTGGATACTAAGCTATTTCTAGTGGTGTGATAGATACTGAAAACAGTGGCACCACAGAAGCTTTTCATTTATCATATTTTCTTTTGCTTATTGTTGTTGAATGCTGGCTTTTTCTGAGGATGTATAACATTTCATGTGGTAATGCCCTAAAGTGCATACAATTTTTTTATATATGTGTGTTAAAGTATTCTGTTTGTTATTTCACAGCATTGATTTCCATTAACAATCATAGAAACATTTCAACTCAGTTAAAGGTACTATTTCATTTGTAAATCATAGCTTGGCTTGTGTGGACAGAAGCCTCATATCGGAGATGTGTTCATCATCTTCGTTAGCAAGGGATATGAGTTGTGAATATCTTTGTGCAATAAGAGTGGCTGCACAGACCTTTATTGTGCTGAAGTAAGAATTAATATAGCAACAAGTGAATGAATTTTGGATATATCTTTGTTCCGTGCAGAAATATTTACATGTTTATAGAAAAACAGGTCAGAGGATAAACAGGAATGAATTAATAAACTGCTCTAATAACAAAAAGACATATTCTGTTCACATTCATAAGACTTGTAGCATCAGTTCATGTTTTGCCTTTAGAAATATTCAACAATTGTAGCTGGTCCCAGGGAACGTATATGACCCATTCACATCATTGAGAGCAGCTAACAGGACGTAACAAAAGAAAAGGTAGTGCATGACAATATGTCAGCAGACAGTTACAAAGGTGGGCAATTTTCCCATGAAGTCAGTAGCAAAAATGTTTATTGATTCTAAAAGAATCAGAGGCAATTTAGAAAAGCTCATACATAATGGCCATGTTGTAAATACCTCACTTCTTTCCTTCTAAACAAAATTAACATGTTGCCATGGTAGCCAAGAGGAATCCCATGGTTCTAGTTCAGACAAAGTCCCATTGTTCTGAGTAAGAGATGAGCAAGGACCACAGCAACTAGCCCTGTGGTTTCCTGAAGTAATCATCTGCCTATGCAAATCTGCATAACATCTTTGTTTCAGTGGCTCATGTTGCTTTTTCCAATAAAAATCTAAGTCCTGCACTTACAAGCAGAATATATTTAACACAAAATCTCTGTTAAATGCCCTCTCTCTGAAAAATATCTGATTTTCCTCAGATAGCTCTCATTTTACAAATGTAATGGTTATTCAAGCAAAAACCTCTCTTGTAATAAATGTTGTACTTTTACAGTTGATAAAAGAGAAAGACATATAAGCCCAAATGGGTGAAATTCGGCATGACTCTCCCTTTAGCTGTCTTATTTGTTATTTTACTGCAGTATATTCATTCATATACCTTGATGCCATTTCTTGCAATGAAAGAAATCTTACTAACATATTTTGTAACCACTACATAGATTAGCATTTACATTAGTACACACATTGTATAAGCTTTGTAATATAGATTACAATATGCATTTGTTGAATTTTAATATCCTGACAGCTCTAGGACCCACTTCTATTTGTATGTCACTTCTTTCTTTTTGTCCAGGAAGAAAGCATAAAAATTATATAAAGCAACTTTCATAGCATTTATATGTCTTTTCAGGTCCTGAAGGGGTTTCCAGAATGCTTACAAGCTGACATTTGTCTGCACCTCAACCAAAATTTGCTTCAGAATTGCAAAGCTTTCCGGGGGGCCAGTAAAGGCTGTCTTCGAGCTTTAGCTATGAAATTTAAGACAACACATGCACCTCCTGGAGACACTTTAGTGCACTGTGGAGATGTTATCACTGCTCTTTATTTTGTGTCAAGAGGCTCCATTGAAATCCTTAAGAGTGACATTGTTGTAGCTATTCTTGGTAAGTAGATTATTACAAGGCATGGTAAAAGAGTCAGAGGTTTGAAAAGAAATATTTGGTATTGTTCCAGGGAAAGGAAATTTGTAAATGTTTTATTCACTGTTATTTAAAATCAAGCAAATAAATAATTTAAGGAGAAAATTTTACATTCACGTGCACCAAAGAGCCCATGTCTTTGGATACCTAAAATATAACAGCAGGAGTGAGTAAGCTGCAAGTTGAGGCAAGCAGATATTAAATTATTCCAGTTCTGACTATGCTGCAAGAACCAAAGTCGAGGAGACCCTTTTCTTGAACATTGATAAGGGTATTGAGTCACATAACCCCCCTATATGCTAACTGGAGAAATCTACTTTAGACATTCAAAATCTCTTATAGAGGTTTTCAGAAATGCTTGTTTCTGCCCACTGGGCATGTAACAAAAGAAAACAATAACAGACTCATCTCATCTAGATATAACAACACCAGGATTTCCCCCATATTTCATATTAACATATTCTTTTTTGTATAGCATGGTGAGTTACCTGTTTTCTTTCCTAACAAAGTTGGCTCACAGTAATGCTCAGTCCAGCTGGGAGCTCAACTGCAACTGCTGATAGCCAGAAAACCAGTAAGACTTAGTTAGCTACAGAAATTTTTAAAGTAAAATAACTAAAACCCTACCTAAACAAGACTACAGATTTGTTTCTCCAATTTAATATTCAGTAATAAGAATACAAAGAATAGTTGAGTAGATAAATAAGGATTTTGCCATACAGAAAGCTACACCACCTGTAATATCATTCAGATATTCTCCTTTCTGCTTATCGATCACTGTAGGAACTTACAGTCAGAAAAGTAACTGAAGTGAGATGTGGACCAGTGGCTGTATGTTGCTATTAGCCCACTTGTGACTGATTATTCTGCTAGAACTTTGCAGGGTGGATATGTGAGTAGAACAAAGGTGTGCCTAAAGCAATCCTTCCCTAGGTTTAGATAGTTTTATCAAGATAATTTGTCATCTCATGCTCTTTCATCTCATCAGCTGGGGCAGTTTTAGGCAGAAGCAAAGTAGGGAGCATGCCAGTATAATGCTGTGAGGTTTACATACCTGTATGAGTATCCTTCCCTGATTATAAACAGTGTGGTTCATCAAGGAGTTCATCTCTTACATTAAAATTTCTATAGCACTTGCAAATCAAAAACACCTGACAAGTTTAGGAATTCATCCATTTCTTCCTGGGCCAAATATGCAGACTGGTCAAGATTTTCATGTTATGCACATCAGATCCCTATGCTTTCACACTGCAGCAGAAACCCAGGTGTTTGCAGAGCAGTGCCACTATACCTCTTCCAGCCAAAGCTGCTCACACCAGCCCCACTCTCCCAGGGAATGGTGGGCCAGACAGAAAGGCAGGTGTACACAACTGCCACCAAAGGAAACTGCTCTATGAGCCTATGTGTAGCATGGTATATGAGGAAGGATCCTGCCTGATAACTGGCTCCAGTTAATGAGTCTGTGGTGTCTTGAAGAATTTGCAGAATAAGAGTAGATGATACAAATGAAGACTAGTCTGCAATGAAATCACACAGAAACCTAAGTTTATCAATGCTTAGCCAAACATTTTTGGGTAATTCCTCTTTCCGAAAAACCTACACACAGATATGGACATAAGAAATATTCAATGATTTGTCCTCCGGAGTTGAAAAGACTTCAACAGAGGTAACATGGATGATGCTTTCATTCTTAATGAGTATTGCATCTTCATAAAAGGTATCAAAGAGTTCTGATAAATGTTGGATTTGTCCCTCAGTTTTCCTCAAATCATCAGTGCTATCTGATGTGTCTGAGTAAAGCCTGATAAGTACTGACCTGACAACAGTAATTCTGTGTCAAATCATTAGAAAATACAATTTTTCTGGAATCTATCATCTCTTTCAGCTTTGCAGACAAGATGTAAAAATACTGCAATCATGTAAATACATTGCAGAGAAGGTATTATATGCCTTGAATAGGGACCTCTGCATTCATAAACATTTAGGCCAGAAGGATTATATTGGCTAACTCCTGTTACATTTCATAGTTTTATCTATCTGTTACACCTAATGATCTGTGGTTGCTGAAAGAAAGCAACAGGTTTTGATCTGAAGGCATAAAGAGATGAAAAAAATATCACTTTTTTGGCAGATTATTCCCATAATTAATCATTTTTATTGTTACAAATTTCCAGTGGAAAATTCTCTTGCTTCAATTTCTTTCAATTGGTCTGGCTATGCATTCCTTCTAGTATTCTAGAGGCATTGAGTATTGAGTAATTTTCCTCTCTATAAGGACATATGCAGTATAATCAGGTTATCTCTTAATCTTCTTGTATTCTTTAAGATCTTCACTGTAATTCAGCCTTTAAATGGTTTTTTACTTTTTTTAGCTGCTTGCTCACCCTGTTTTTAGCTTCTTTATTAGAGAATGGAGAAACCAGAACTACTTTTAGTAACATAATGTAAAAGGCACAAACGTTTAACAGAGAGGCAAAATCAACCCTGTATTCTTTTTTACAGTCTGCTGCTTCTGCCTGGCTATGACCACTATTCTTTTCCCAAGTGTTTTCCTAGTTCCCCCCAATCCTCATTTTGCAGGTAACCACTGAAACCCTTCATTTAGAGCAAATTTTCACTGGTCTATGGCTGCAGCTTCTCTGTATTGATGAAGGTTAGGTGAAAGATTTGGGGAATTTGAGCAATTAAATGGCGATGACAATTTTAACGAACAGGTTCCACGAATGTGTCAGCATTGATTGAAAGAACTGTAATGGTACCAAAACAGAGGCAGTCATGTCTAAAGATCTGCTGCAAAACACCTTCTGCATCTTAGATGTTTTGTATTCCCTCTGAAAAATATAAAAAATAAGTAATTTACTACTGAAATGCATTTCAAGTATGGTCAGTTCCTTTATGTAATTCTTAACAAAATGATATTACAGGTCAGACAGGTCCTAGGCTGTACTGAACAATAGAAATTACATCTTTGTCATCATAACAATATGATTTAAGTCTGCAAATAATGTTTTTACAAGGACAAGGGTACCTGCTCTGGTCATGCTGCTCTGATGAAACTGAAGAAAAATTGTGATGAAATTAGATTTTCATTTCATTTATTCCAGTTATATGCCTATGCAATTTCACTGATTTTCATAATTTCACTTTTAATATTTAATAACAATACTTTTGCTTTGCAACAACATATGTGCAGTGGTAATCTGATTGTATCACTTCATGGAAAATCAAGTACTCTACACCACTATCATAAAGAAATACATCATTCAATTTAATGGCTTATGTTTAAAATAATAATCTCCCTCTACTTTTCTTTCTGCAGGGAAAAATGATATTTTTGGAGAGATGGTACATCTTTATGCAAAACCAGGAAAGTCAAATGCAGATGTGAGAGCTTTAACTTACTGTGACTTACATAAGATCCAGAGAGAAGATCTACTAGAAGTGTTGGATATGTACCCTGAATTTTCTGATCTCTTCCTCACCAATCTAGAACTGACTTTTAATCTGAGAGATGAAACTGCAAAGGTACATATAATAAGTAATTTTTTTTCTTAATATTGGGCTGAATCTGTCCCACAGTAACAGAACTTGAAAATAGCATTTGAAAAACCAAGGTTAGCAAAATTAAAATCTAAAAGCCTGAGGCTAAATCCTATTTTTAAAAAATATACTCACCTGATTGCTCCTACTGAAGCCAGTTAAACTCGGCAGAAGTCAATGAAATTATTCAGATGATGTTAATCTAACAGGATTTGGTTCTATATTTAAATAGTATTAAAGCTTCACCCATGGGGATTTTGCTAAAGCCTTGGAAAATATGTTTTTTTTCAGATGACTAGAGCCTAGGTCACCGCAAGGGGAACTTTTGACACTAAACAAAATTGTACATCCATAAAATAAAGATAAATCAGATTATCCAGATTCATTCTGTGTCTAGCAGTAGAAAATGTTTAATTGCCTTTCAAACATGAATTGTTAATTCTCTTATCTTGGAGTGCACTCTACCTCCTAGGAGACTGAAAACTTCTAAGGGACTTTTCAAATTTCACTCAGTCTTCAGATTTGCAGCGATTTCTTGGTATCTCTTTCCCACAGTGACTGTCCTAAGTGTCCCCTTTTGCACAAATTGCATCTTCAGGAATGTAGAAAAATTACTAGTGCTTTCTTATTTCAGACTGACAGGGTTAGTCTGACTTGGGAAAGAAAGTGGAGGTTTGGCCAGAAGGATAGAGGGGTAAGCTATTGCCCAGCTCATGGCATACTGGGGCTGAAGCCTTCCCCAGAAGGTTGCAGCTACAGCAGCACTGGCCACCAGACATGGACTACACTGCCCACAGAATGGCTAGTTTACATTTGATTGATTCTGAGGTGCTGTTGTCTTGTGGTTTCCAATGATACTTTTAAGGACAAACAGAGGTTCAGTGAGAAGGAACTAACATAATTAGGCCTCAAAGGCTGTCTGAGAAGCAAGGAGACAAAGAACATTTAAGTTTTGGGCTGTAAATGATAGGGGACATTTTTGCTAATCACATATGGATCTTTATGTTTTTAAAAAAACTAAAATCACTATAACTTCTGACAAGAAATGTCTCTACTTTTTACTATGACCCCTTTTAAATAAGACATCATTCTGAAAATAAAGGACCAGTTATATTCTTTATTTTCAAACCATCCTTTTGTATGCATTATAAACATCATAATTATTAATTACAGGTGAAATACAACATAATGAATATATATTCTAGTGATAAATTTAGGTTAAAACTGAATGTCCACATATCTGAAAAATTCCTTGAGGATAAATTCACATTAATGATTTTAGTCCGAGCAAATATTTCTTACAATTATATTATCATCAATATTTTATCATTACTTTTTCCTTAGAAAAAAATCCATCTTTTGTTTTGTGGTGTAGAATATAAAGAAAGTTCACACCGCTCATGTACCTTAGAAATTTTTCAGTTGTTATTTCTTCCTGCTGTACCAGTCACTAACTAAAAATCACTGGACTTCACAGAGACACAGAGGGGAGGAGAGGCTCACCTATGGTTCTGAGCTTGCAAAATCACTGTTTTCTCTAGCAAGTCCACTTGCTTTCCATTGCCTATTGCAATCCAGAAAAATCATCACCCAAAAGAAGCAATGATCACATTCTCATCTTCAAAGCATCACTCAGATCTAACTTTACTATATGAATAATAGGCGCTTCTCCCTCCACTTCTGCTCCTGTCCTCCTATTTGTGTAGAAGTAGCTTTCTCTTTGTGCAGTTATTCCACCAGTGGGTCACCACTGAAGCATGTTACTCACCAGGTTTACAATGGAGGGAATAGAGAAAGGTGCAAACATTTCCCACTTCTTTCCCTCTGCCCTTCTCTCACATGCAAATCTGCTTACTTTAGTGCTATGGGAAACCTCAGTAGCACAGGAAAGGGACGTAGGCTGAAGCCAATGCCATGGATATATACACAAAGAGCATAACTTGTGTTATATTTGCTTATTTGTAAATTTCTCCATTTTAAATAAGTAGAAAAAATAGTTAAATGCATCTTGTATTTATTGTGGAAGAATAAACCACATTCATCTTCCGTAAGATGGATAAAAAAAGGCAACATTGTGTTCTGGTATGGAAATAAGTATCTGAATGATATATATATGATAGAGAGGAAGGGACAGTCTAAAAGGATAAAATTATGAAGGTAAAAGTGCCTGATGTTTGTCAGCCTCATATCTGTTGCTGTAAAATTTAACCTTTGTAATCATTACCATGAAGTTAAATACAAATATAATTGCAATCAGTTACCACATTCCTTGTTGAAACAGTATGCGTTTTGTGTTAGAGGTTATTTAATTTTCTTCATTAATTACTCTAAAATTACTTATACTACAGCTGTGCAAGTTCAGGGAAGCTTACAACACATGAACACATGCCTTTCCATGTAAACTTATTATGAGGATACTTTTATTTCACCATCAGGTGGTGACATTGTCGGGTTTGCTCAATCTGCATGAACTTTTTAATGTTAGCCTTGGGCACTACCATTAGCTGGGGTGGGGAGGTTGATGCAGACTGACTTGTGTATTTCCTTTCTTAAGGCTTGAACATGATTAACAGTCAGTCACCTATTACAAACCTGCCCTCTTTAGATGGGACTAATCTGTCATTTTGTTTCATATTTCATTAATCAAGTCTGACCTCGTAATAAGATCACAAACTACTAATGATATGGATGGAGATAACTGCAAACTACGAAGACGGAAATTGTCCTTTCAAAGTGAAATAGAGAAAGGTAATTAACTTCATTTCTTACATTAGACAGCACTACTTCATTATTCATTGGTATTTCACTTGGTAATGCTGGGTACATTAGGGTCCCATGTTGGCTGTTACTGTACTGGCTCTTGAGAATCCAGCTTGGCAGCAAAAGTACTCTGTGCATTGTCCCTTATATGCTTACATATAACTAGAAGATATTAGTTTCACCCTTCCATGACTTCACATCTGTCTATGCAGAGCTGTTCCAACATTAAGCTACATTACTGCCTTTGAGATAAACATATATACATACATGTATTCGCTCTTAAACAATATCTATTTTCTGAGACACCAAACTGTTTAAAGTGTTTGGAGAACCTAATCTGTTGGACTATTTACTGCAGTGTTGATTTTATTTCCTCAGCAAAGTGCTTTGTTGAACTTGATACTAGGTAGTGTTTCTCCTTGATATTAAAATATTTTAAAATTTAAAAAAATAAATATTTCAGGATACAGTAGATTCACCATAGTCCGATTTTGATTCATAAGGTGAAGTATGAATGGTTGCTCTGAAAAAAGCTCAGGTAACATTTTCTGTGCATAGGTTCACCTTAATGGCTTTTGGGAACAAATCTAATGAAGGAAAATTCAGTGAAATATCAAACTATTTCACCAATATTCAGTAGTGCTAAATAGCAGGAACTGTAGACAGTAGCTATGGTCAGACAGCAGCAGTCATGAAGAGAGTTAAACTGATAGTTACAGGATTTTCATTTTTATTTAGGGAAAACACCATTCCTTGAAAAACATTACACTTTTATGGTCGAATGGTTTGTCTGACAAATTGCTGTTCCTGGTATGCCTGTTTTTCACACTCCACAGTTAAACTTCAATCCTAAATGGAGCATAATACCAATTTAAAGAGTAGCAGAGTAGCTGATATTAAATGGGAACACTTTAAACATATATAGCAGGTATAACACTAGATGAAGGAAGACTATAATCCGGTGTGTGGCTATTCAGAACAATGACACTGCTGTTCGATTAGAGAAGCATCTTTAGGGCAGGAAGCCAAGACTGACAACAAATCTGTCAGTAAAATGTCCCTATGAAATATTCAATCTGCTCTTCACAAAGAATCTGTTGACAGAGGTGCTTTGCCTGAATAACCTTCACATTTCTTATGAGAAAACATATGCTGCTACCTAGACAAGATGGAAGTGATCTTTTATGTTATGCCTGCTGCAGAATTACAAATAGGCTACTCAGGTGTCAGTGTGATCCCAAGACCCTTAGGATTTTATGGTTCTTGCCCAGTTGATTACACTGAACATCTTCTTGGAAACATTTATTTGCCTTACTTTCGAAAGAATATAATTTCTCATGGTTTTGTCTCTGACAAAAATACTTGCTCCACTGGGGAAGAAGAGACAAGACTGGCAACAAGCTTCTTATTTCTGTCAATGATTTTAGAGCACCAGGTAATTTCTGAGTCAAAGAGAAGTGAGGTACATTGGAAGTCCATCTGAGGAAAAGATGAGATCGTAAAAGTCCTTTGCCAAGAACTGAGTACCCTTTTGGCCCAATGGCTTACTGCCCCTCTCTGGACCCTGTTCAAATTCTCTACACATTCCCACAGCCACAGCAGACACCTCATAGTCATAGATTTTTGGAGTCACTTTTCTATGGCTCATCCTACATTCTCTTGAAGTTGTAGAGTACTAGAGATTACTATTGGCTTATAAAGTAATATCAGATTCATTTCAACCCTTTATATGTAGGAGGGAGTTCCAGCACAGTGGTGCTGGGGATGATCCTGCAGAGTTTTGCAGAAGAACTGGAGTAGAAAAGACAGGGTTCCTGAACAAACAGCTGGTAACACCACTTCTGGTCACAGTATGCTTAAAGATTAAAAATGTGTTTGTACCACTACTTTTAACAATCATATTTTTATTTCAGAACTACAGTTTGAACAGGATAGAGACACCCAGTATTCTCACTTTTATATTTTGATATTTTACATCTCACTAAATGCTTATTGATTTGTAATTATTGGGGGGGAGACAATGATGATATGGTCTTCTTGCTGATATTCATTGCTTTCAGCAGTTGACCTACTAGCACATTATGCAGCTTGAAATTGTATTGTGTCTTTAGTGTGATCATCAGTGATTTTTCTCCCTTTTGGAGTGCTAAAAATGGGATTGTGTTATCTCAGCCTTTAGTTCATGTTAGCCTGATTTGGACCTTGTTGCCATGGTAACTCTTCCTGCACAAGTTTTATCAGGGGTTAAACAAAATCAACACAGCTCTCTGTTATGCATCTGCAGTGAGTACCACTATTTTTTCCAATTCCACACAAGACCTTTTCACTCCACATACATGTTTCCACCATTTCTTACCTGTGTCAATAAAACTTTATCTCAGCTAGTACATTGGGCTCTGTTGTAATGCGATTTTAAAGGGTACCAGATTATTCAATGGTCCAGCTTTTTCTCTGGCTTCCAGAATGGATTGCAATACCACAAGAGGTCCTCTGCAAAAATTAATACACATACTACATAGCAGCTTATACTTGCTCCCACCCAAAAGAAATTCACTGCAGCTCTTTCAGAATAATGGATGATACTTCTTGCACAGGTGCAGGTGCAGACTTAGCCAGTTGCCATAGATGCCTGACAGTCAGCCAAGAAACTCTCCGTGTGACTGCTTAAAATTAGCAGAATTCCTGCCTGGCGGTTCCAAACAAAGCTCTTAGCTGGGCTGGCAAGTTAGTCTCCTGCGGAAAACTAAGGGACAATGAGCTGCTCCATCTATAGTCAGTTGTCATTTTCAGCAGTGCAGAATGAAATCCTATCTTTCCCATTTCTCATTTTCCTCTAGCAGTTCTGTGGGAGTTAGCTAATTTCAAGGGAAATACATTCAGTCAGGCGAGAAGTTTCTTTTGCTCTGCTAGTTCTGAGGGCAGATCTATTATCCCATGCTGAATGGGGCACCACTAGCGTTGTTTACATCAATATGAAATCCAATATACAGGTGAAAAATTCAGAGTGTAAGTAGGCTCACTGAGAGCCTGAAAATTTATGGCCTTGAAAAGACTTTTCTGGAGTTCAAGCCTTATCACTTTTGCTAGCATCTTGTTTAACATTTTTTTTAATGTCGGCTCTAAAATCTTAACTTTCTTCAAACAGTTCCAGTGTCAGCTGGCCCAGGAAAGTCATAAGAAGGAAATTTTAGTTCCATGGATGTGATTTTAAAAGGCCACAATGAACGTTTGCACAAAATCTTGTTACACTGAGGCTTGCACTCGCCCATGTTGACACAGACTGTAACGATCAAGCGGGATATAAAATACATCTTGCAGTGGTTTAGCATATTGTTAAATAGGTAAACACATACAGTACTAGAGCCAGAGATCTAATAAATTTCTGATTGAATGTTTATTAGTATTACTACCTTAAGTGTGCATTGCTTGTAGGTACTATTCAGTCTAAGAAGCCAAAACATATTAACACATCTTTATTACCCAAGGTATCCAGAGGCCATAGCTGGCAATACAAAAGACAAGGAAACCTTTCAGGAACTGATTCTCCTGCTTAGAACTATGAAGTAGAGCAGTACCAAGAGAATGGGGGAACAAACACCTCATTTCCCCCATTCTTTCCCATTCTTGTCCCCTTCCCCCAGCTAATAAACTACATTCTATCTACATTCTTACTTTATGAATAGATGACTCAGTCAAGCACTGTGCTGTGTCCCCAGAGAGAAAGTAGGGTAAGAATCTGGAGAAAAATTGAAGCTCTTACTTAACTGTGTTAAACTGCATTATGCTGATGAAGTTTCCTTGAACTTAATTAGAAGAGAGTTTCTAATATCAGCCAAATTCATTAAATGACCATGAAGCACGATCTTGGCAGGCAAGCATATAGCTGGAAACAAGACCTCATGTCCCCAAAATCTTACCTTATGCATGAAACCTCTAACAAAAAAGTACCTGGTCACCACAGAACCCATCACTGCAGTGTTCTATCTGCTCCTATTATTGTTATTGTTATTGCTGCTTCCACAGCGCCTAGGAGCCACCTCAGGGAGATTCCACAGAAGAGTCTTGTTTCCAGAAGTTGCTCCCAGAGAGGATGTTTCCAAAGGCCAAATCTAATCGAAATGTTGTGTGCAGTCAGTCACACATACCCACAGCCATCCTTTGAAGAATAAGTAATATTAGTACTACAGTGAAAGCTGAATTCCTTGTCAAATAGAAGAGAATTCTAAACTTGATAGAAGAACTGCTTTGACCCTTGCCCTGAATCCATTCTGAGGTGCATGGTTATGATGCTTTGTTTCTGACTTTTTTAAATATAGCATTATTGCCTCAAGTATAATTTAAGAATTGTCCTTTCATCATTATCTGATTAGCATTAAAGTTGATACAAAACCAGACAAAGCAAAGAAAATGCAGCCATAAGGCTGTCCCAAACTTATCTCATTGTACTGAAGAATACGAAAGAATAAAAGAAAGATTGCATACTCACTTCAACTTTGAAATTCGAGGCTTTTTTAACGTGTCTCAAATTTAGTTATTCAAAACTAGCTCTTTTCTAAATCCATTTAAAAATAGGAACACAGATTGTTATGGAAGAGTTACCCAGGCTTTAGTCCAGGATGGTGGAGGGAGGTTTCAGTATCTTCTGCTCTTCCATATTTCCAGAATCACCCAAACTTTCATGGTTCAGAGAGGAAACACAGCAAAGGTCACATTAACTTACCAAACTCTCACAAGCAGCACTGAGACAGAACAGTAATTCAAACAGCTCTCTCTGGTACAGTTCATTTCCTCCACCTTCACTATCCAACCCACTGGAACCTTTCAGCAAAATAGCCAGAACTTGTTATAATGATGGAATTTCACTAGTTTATATCTTTAGATTCCCCAGTGTAGACTTAGGACTTCCCAAATTATAAATGAAATTGGAATTAAATTAATCTTCTATTATTAAAAATAGTCACATAAAAAGAACTTTAAAACTTTTTATT